CAATTTCTACCCGACACCCTTTCTTCGAGTGAAAAACTCGGAGAAAGAGAAAGATCCCTCCTGCGTTACTTTCCTGTTGAGTTGCCGTTTTCTTTCCGCTACTGGGCATTGCTAGACACGCTTATTGCCCTCGTGTCAAAGTTACGCGCCTAAATTCTTTTAAATTGCAATTTCGCATTCATGGCCGCTGGAGTTCTGCGCTTCACAACTAATGTCTTTGGCCTGCACACGTGCACTGTCTAAGAATCCAAATTCACAGTAAACGTTCTCCCAGCTTTGGCCATCTCCCATGTACCAGCCGTCCGTCTGAGTCTTTCCCTGGTACCGTAACTGAAATCTCGGTTCGACTTTCACATTGGTCTGTCCAGAATTAAAACCCACCCGATTTTATCAGTTCTTTTTGGAAGCACCATTCAACTTTCCTGCGTTCCTTTACCTTGTCGGCTTCGCGCCAAGGTCCTCAGTAACATGGTCTGTTTGTCCTATTGTACATACTGCCCACGTTTAACTGTTGCGCACGGCATCTTGACATCTTCTCAGGCCCAATTATTCCTGTGCAACTGTCGACCTTTCACCCCTCCCTCCCCCCCTCTTCATGTTCTTCCAGTGTAAACGTTTAGTCCGCTCCATAAAGGTGGATTGCAGTTTACTTTAAGCGAAGTGTCATCTAAACTAAGCAAGCCATCAGTGTCATTATTTTTCTGTGATTGCAGCTAGATTTGTCATTTCTTTATTCTCTCTTTCTCACTCTCTATCCTCCCCCTTCTCTGTTCCTCTTTCTTGGGCCTTAAATGCATTCTTGCCTGGCGTTTGCAGTGTATAAGACGCAATTACCACTTCAGCTCACTTTTGCACGACCCCTGGATTTACAACTTCTTTGCATCGGTTTACCTCCACCACCGCGAGGTGCACTTTGAAAACAAGTTAGGAAGTGGGGGTCGTGAGTAGGAAAGATAAGGGGTTCCTGAAGCTATTGTACATATTTTTCGGCTCGTATTTTAACTGTCTCGAGCTCTTGGGTACGCTAATAGGAGTCTAGCTTCCGTGCCATTGATTAGTTATCTTAGTGGTAAGTGTTGTTTTCTCGCCCAAGTGTTTGTTTTTGCCTAGCCGGAAAAGTCGTTTCGAACTAGAGGGTGTCGATGTCATTTGAGTCCCGTGTGAGATTGGAAGACAATTTTAACAGGATTCCCCCCCTCAAGAGGTGCGTCATGTCCGAAAGGAATGCCATAAAAAATAGGAACCTAATTACGGCCCTGATGATGTAATCCTAGAACACTTACAATATCTTACCGAAGACTCGTGGCGTCTTGTGCACTGCGTTATCGCCCGGCTGAAGCGATGTCTTCATCCTTGTCTGTCTAATCGTCGAATGAGCTGGTAGGCCCTAGTGATGGTGCGTTGTACGTTTTGCGGTTTAAGTGGACGGTGACCTGTCTTTGCTGAGTCGGCGTATGTGTCTACTTGAAACTTAATGATAAGAAGGAATGAGTAAAGCTAGCAGCCAACTTTATACGGCTTCCGACTTCCAGAACAATCCTTTGCGCGGGCGAGATTTTCAGTATCCCGAGGTCCTACCTCTTAAATGATAAATTGGACCGCAGACTGCTTTTCGACAGCCATGAAAAATGGTTTTGTGCTGTGGGAGCTTAATTTCGTCCGTGAGGGCCATTATATTTTATTTCCTGCCCCAATTAGATTGCATTCCAGCCCCTGGGACTAATTTATAGGCTCAGTAGACCTGCAGCCCAGTCTAGTTCTCTAGGATTTTTAAAATCCCCAATCGAGACGCACACGAACCGTAGGGTGTACTCAGAAGGAAGCGGCAGAGGAGACGAAGGCCTTTACACCAACTGTTGTCATTTCCCCCTGCTCAAGAGTCGTGCGACGTGTTTATTTAAGTCTCACTTGAGGGGACACAATGTCGTGCCACAGCGCCTGACCACGCATTAAAGTTCCACGACGCAATTCGACATAGGA